ATATACATCTATATCAGGGCTTGTCAAACTTTTTAAGCAGAGGACCAATTCACGGTCTCTCAGACAGTTGGGGGGCCAGACTATAGTTTGGAAAAAAATGAACAAATCCCTATGCACACTGCACATATCTTGTTTGTAATGCAAAATAAAAAAAACATGAAATAACAATGGAGTATTTAAAATGTAGAACAATTTGAATCAATTTAAATGTACCAGTATTTCAATGGGAAGTGTGAGCTTGCTTTTGGCTGATGAGATAGTAAAAGTTAATTGGGATTGTTGTTGTTGTGTGCCTTCAAATCATTTATACTTACAACAACCCTAAGTCTACAGTTTAGGGCGGGGGAAGGGGGAATGACCTTGGAGGGATGCATCCAGCTCTTGGGCCTTAATTTGAGGAATTAATGTGGATTGACACCATTTTAATTACCAATGCTGGGAGTTGAAGCTTAGTGAGGCACCAGACCTCTTTGGCAGAGAAGGCTCAAGACCTTGAAGACACAACTCATGTGATTCCATATCATTGCACCATGGCAATTAAAGTAATACTCATAAGTGGTAGTTTGTGGAAAGTTCACAGCCATGGGATACTGACTGCTAGTCTGCAGACAGTTGCCAGGCAAGACACAGTTGTAGCCTATGGGCACAAATAGGATGCCACAGCAAGGGAGCTGGTACACACCAAATCGCACGAGATGCACTGATGCCCTACTTCAGCTCACTAAAGGATAGGTTGCATAAAGGAAAATAAATAAATAAAATATATGTTCAAGAACACAGCCCTTTGCTCCCTGTTAAAGAGATAAATAATCATTTTGAATGAATATGGATTCTGGAGCTTCACACAGAGTTAACAAAGCCCACATATTCTTGTTGGTTAAGCTTTGGCAGACCACAACAGACTGCTACACAAAGCGGGGAATGGAAGAAGGGCGGCAACTTCTGTGGCCTGGGCTGCAGAATTAACTGGGCACCTTTAATGCTGGGGGAAGGTGGCACTGATTGCTCTGAAGCAACCAGGTAAGGAACAGCACCTGCTGAAACCTTACCTTCTTCCCCTTAAAGGCACAGGAACCATTTCTACTGTGACATAAATGAAGGGTGCAACTGTACAATGGAATGGATGCAGTTTGATTGCATTTGAACTGCCACAGCTCAATGCTGTGGGACCTTGGAGTTCGGTGAATGGAGAACGCTGAGGACCTTGTCAAGCTCCCAGGATTTCAATAGCACTAAACTATCATCGTTCAGTGAGGCACGGGTGCTATTTGGCGGAGGAAGCTGCCAAAAAGTACCAACAGCTCACCTTGAGATGAGGTACAACATAATGGGAGAAAAACGCAAAAGAAAATGAAAACCCAGAACATATAAAGCACGAAAGCAACACAATGAACAATTTTGTATCTGTGGAGTGTCAGAGGTAGAAGAATTCACACATGTACTGTTTACTTGTAACTTGTACAAGAGAGAGAGAAATCAATACCTCTGACTATACATTATACAAAAGAGACACCGGGATCCTTATATCAAAACTACATTTAGAATGCTAAAATAACATACTAAATGGCCCTTTTTCTATATACAGCAACTCAGCTGAGAACTGCGTATTTGGAGCTGATTGGGGTAAACTGTAGGGGTGATGAAGATATTAGATCTGGATTGGAATCTTGATTCCTTGTTAACAGCTTGTATATCATATTGTTGAAGGCTTTCACAGCTGGAATCACTGGGTAGCTTTGAGTTTTTCGGGCTATATGGCTATGTTCCAGAAGCATTCTCTCCTGATGTTTCACCTGCATCTATGGTAGGCATCCTCAGAAGCGGTGAGGTCTGTTGGAAACTAGGTAAGTGGGGTTTATATATCTGTGGAATGACCAGGGTGGGAGAAAAAACTATTCCCTGTTTCAGGCAAGTGTGAATTGCTGCATTGGCCATACTTTGTTGGGAGGTGATTAGCTGGCCTTGATTATTTCATGTCTGGAATTCCCCTGTTTTATTTGAGAACACAGAAATGCTGGGACATTCTAATAACCACCATGTCAGACTACACAGAGAAGCCACTGAAATCCACAAGCATGTGGACAATTTCAATGGAAAGGAGGAAACCATAAAGATGAACAAAATCTGGCTGCCAGTGTTTTTAAAAAACTCTAAAATCAAAACAGTAAATAAAGAACACTCAAAAACAGGGGAATTCAAGTCAGGAAACAATCAGAACCAGCTAATCACCTCCCAACAAAGGATTCCTCCATGAGATAAGCAGCCAGAGCTTGAAGCTGCAAGGCCATTAAATGTTAATCAAGGTAGTCAACTGCAATATTCACACCTGCCTCAAACAGACAGAGTTCTTTCTCCCACCCTAGACATTCCACAGATATATAAACCCCACTTGCCTAGTTTCCAACAGACCTCACAAGTTGTCAAAAGTTTTCATGGCTGGAATTGATGGGTTGCTGTGAGTTTTCCAGGCTATATGGCCATGTTCCAGAAGCATTCTCTCCTGACGTTTCATCCCATCTATGGCAGGCATCTTCAGAGGTATGCCTGCTATACATGTGGGCAAAACATCAGGAGAAAATGCTTCTGGAACTTGGCCCTACAGCCCAGAAAACTCACAGCAACCCAGACCTCAAAACCTCTGATGCCTGCCACAGATGTGGGTAAAATATCAGGAGAGCATGCTTCTGGAACATGTCCATACAGCCCAGAAAACTCACAGCAACCTCACACTCTCTGAGGATGCCTGCCACAGATGTGGGCGAAACTTTAGGCGAGAATGCTTCTGGAACATGGCAAGACAGCCCGGAAAACTCATAACAACCCAGACCTGACAAGCTCTGAGAATGCCTGTCATAGATGTGGGTAAAACATCAGGAGAGAATGCTTCTGGAGCATGGCCAGACAGCCCAGAAAACTCACAACAACCCAGCTTGTTTAACTTTTGTTGCACTGTGGGTTGTATGCTGCATGTGTTGAATGTGCTTGTCAAGTGTTTTGATGCAGCTGATGGGCTAATCAAGGATATTACCATTACTACAAAAAGATCTTGAAGTCCTCATGGACAACAAATTAAACATGAGCCAACAATGTGATGTGGCAGCAAAAAAAGCCAATGTGATTTTGACCTGCATCAAAAGAAGTATAGTGTCTAGACCCAGGGAAGTCATGCTACCCCTCTATTCTGCCTTGGTTAGACCACACTTGGAATATTGTGTCCAGTTCTGAGCACCACAATTGAAGAGAGATATTGACAAGCTGAAATGTGCATCCAAAACACACAATAGCATATCCACAGTCTCTTCCAGACTACATCTACAAGTATCCCCTTTAGGAGAGGGGGGATGATCCAAATGCACTGCTTCTAAGCTGCAAGCTGTCTTCTCCTTGGATTTGAGAGCATTCCAATTCCCTATTCCTGGACTGCAATTCCCAGCAATTCTCCAGATAGACAGACAGACAGACAGGTAAGGTAGGTAGGTAGATCGGCAGGACTGCTGGGAGTTTCAGTCCAAAAATAGGTAGAAAAGGAAGAAAGAAAAGGGGGAAGGAAGGGAAGACAGAGAGAAGGAAAGAGAGAATGAAAGAAAAAAAGAAAAGGAAGGAAAGAAAGAAGGAGAGAAAGAAAGAAAGAGGGAAGGCTGCGGGTACAGCTAGTATATAAATTCATGAGAGGAAGTCATAAGGAGGAGGAAGCAAGCTTGTTTTCCACTGCCCTGGAGAGTAAGATGCAGAACAATGGCTTCAAACTACAAGAAAGGAGATTCCGTCTGAATTTTAGGAAGAACTTCCTGAGTGTGAGAGCTGTTCAGCAGTGGAACTCTCTGCCCTGGAGTGTGGTGGAGGCTCCTTCTTTGGAAGCTTTTAAACAGAGGCTGGATGGCCATCTGTCAGGAGTGCTTTGAATGCAATATTCCTGGATGGTCCAACTCTATGATTCTATACAACAGTGTTTCTCAACCTGGGGATCGGGACCCCTGTGGGGGTCACAAGGGGGTGTCAGAGGGGTCGCCAAAGACCATCAGAAAACACAGTATTTTCTGTTGGTCATAGGGGTTCTGTGTGGGAGGTTTGGCCCAATTCTATCATTGGTGGTGTTCAGAATGCTTTTTGATTGTAGGTGAACTATAAATCCCAGCAACTACAACTCCCAAATGTCAAAGCCTATTTTCCCCACATTCCAGCAGTGTTCACATTTAGCTTACTGAGTATTTGTGCCAAGTTTGGTCCAGATCTATCGTTTGAGTCCATAGTGCTCTCTGTAGGTGAACTACAACTCCTAAACTCAAGGTCAATGCCCACCAAAACCTTCCAGTGTTTTCTGTTGGTCATGGGCATTCTGTGTGCCAAGTTTGGTTCAATTCCATTGTTGGTGGAGTTCAGAATACTCTTTAATTGTAGTTGAACCATAAATCCCAACAACTACAACTCCCAAATTATGTTTCATAACAGGAGCAAAATTACAGTTATGAAGTAGTAAAAGAATGTTATGGTTGGGGGTCACCACAACATGATGAACTGTATTAAGAGGTCGCGGCATTAGGAAGGTTGAGAAACACTGCTATACAACATCTCGTGAATGTAGTTAAGACAGAGCTTGAATTGCTATGGAGGAGGAAAAGAGTTGGGTGAGGCACCAGCAGAGAAGGCTGGAGAGCTTGTCAAAACTCCACAACATGCATTGAGGAAAGTGGTGTCAAAGTGTATACAGCAGGCATGGGCAAACTTGGGCCCTCCAGGTGTGTTGGACTCCAACTCCCACCATTCCTCACAGCCTCAGGCCCCTTCCTTTTCCCCCTCATTAAGCGGCTGAGGGGGAAAAGGAAGGGGCCTGAGGCTGTGAGGAATGGTGGGAGTTGGAGTCCAACACACCTGGAGGGCCCAAGTTTGGACCCGGGCGGGAAAAAGTGGGGCACCAGGCTCAAGGTGGCAAAGGAAAAAGCTGCGCCTGAAGTGAAAAGGCAGTCCTCCCCTGCCTCCATCCTCTTTGTCGCCTTCCTTACCGGCTCTGCCAGCCCTGGAGCAGGTTGGTGTATTTGCTGAGGCTGCCCTCCAGCGCCGGCTCCGTCCTCCTGGCCCCCGGGCTGGCTGCAGCCGAACCGGGGCTGCTCCCACTCCCGCCTCCTCCTCCTCCCTCGGCCCTCCGGTTGGGCAGCCCTCTCCCGGCCGAAGAGGACGGAGAGGATCCCGCGGAAGGGGCCCGGCTGCTGCTCCGGCTGCTGCTGTTGCTGCCTCCTCCTCCTCCTCCGCTGTTGTTGTTGTTCCCCTCCGCGCCGACGCTGCTCTGCGCCTTCTCCATGGAGCTCGGGGGAGAAATACCTGACTCATCCGCAAAGGAGGGAAAAAGGAGAGACCCGCCACCGCCTCCCCTGCCTCCTTCTCTGCTCTCCTCGACGTCCGGCTCAGACCCACCCCGCCGCCCTCTGCCTTGCGGATCTCCTCCTCCTCCTTTGCTTCCCGGAGGGCCAAAGGGAAAGGGACGACCCTCCTTCGCAATGAGAGGGAGGGGCTTCGGTGGCCCCGCCTCCTGACACGCCCCTCCGAGGCTCAAGCCGCGCCGGAGAGAGAGAGCGGGGGGAGGTGGGAGGGTGCCCACTCTTTGGAACTAATGCGGTTTGACACTGCTTTACAACTGCCTGCTCACTGCTGGGAAATCCTCAGGGTCCGGGTCTTACAAGATCTTGAGCCTCTTCTGGTGCCTCTCTAACTCAAACTCTCATTGAAACAGCGTCAAGCCTCACTACCTCTGAGGATGCTTGCCATAGATGCAGGCGAAACGTCAGGAGAGAATGCCTCTAGAACATGGCCATATAGCCCGAAAAAACCTACAACAACCCAGTGATTCCGGCCATGAAAGCCTTCGACAATACCCAGAGGGTTGAAGTTTGTTCAGTTCTGGTGTAGATGCACCAAAGGGCTATTTTAGGAATTGAATTAGCTTTAGTTAGGCGAGAGAGGTGACTCTCTCGGTGGTTTCCAAGGATAGAATAAGGGCCCTTCCATAACACCCTTATCCCAAGAGGCGGCCCTAGGTAATTTTCAATGGTAAGCAAACAGTATTTTGGTGCCCCCCCCCAAACCAATCACTGATATATATTTTCTGTTCATCATGGGAGTTCTGTGTGCCATATTTGGTTCAATTCCATCATTGGTGGAGTTCAGAATGCTCTTTGATTGTAGGTGAACTATACATCCCAGTAACTACAACTCGCATATGTCAAGGTCTATTTTCCCCCAAGAGCACCTCAAGAGCTCCCCTGGGCAAAATCAACTATACTGCAAATGCTTACTTTGCGTAATGGGTTGAGCAGCCCCTGCTCTTAGGGCCCTTCCACACAGCCCTATATCCCAGAATATCAAGGCAGAAAATCCCACAATATCTGCTTTGAATTGGGTTATCTGAATCCACACTCAGATAATGTCAGATTTTCTGTCTTGATATTCTAGGACAGGGGTCCTCAAACTTTTTGAACAGGGGGCCAGGTCACTGTCCCTCAGACTGTTGGAGGGCCGGACAATAGTTTACACAGGAAAATTGTTAAACATTTATTTTATATATTGTGAAACATTTATTTCTAATTACAAATAAATGAAATGTTGATTTCAAGCATGTCGTAGCATGGGTAACAGGCTTACTATAACAGCAGGGAACCCATGAATATGTTTACTGATCAGCCTATTGGCCGAATTCCCATGACCTCTTATCATCATAGTTTGTGGCAGCCACACAAAGTTTCTGGAGGAGAACTACTACTGCTACAAAACCGAAGGACACTGCCCACCAAACCCTTCCAGTATTTTCTGTTGGTCATGGGAGAATTGTGTGCCAAGTTTGGTTCAATTCCATCGTTTGTGGGGTTCAGAATGCTCTTTGATTGTAGGTGAACTATAAATCACAGCAACTACACCTCCCAAATGACAAAATGTAGTTTTTTTTGAGTGAAGGACATACATTGGGTTGTTAGGTGTCTTGTGACCAAATTTGGTGTCAATTCGTCCAGTGATTTTTGAGTTCTGTTAATGCAACAAACAAACATTACATTCTTATTTATATAGATTTATTTACATAATTTCTATCCCTCCCATTTCAGCCTGAAGGAAATTCGGGGCAGCATACAGACCAGCAACAATTAGATGTCATATATATATGCATATATCTGTTAAAATCAATTAAATCACATCATAAATACGATGGCATAACTCCTCATCAGATGGCAGCACTGGTATGCAGCAGGTACTGGCTTGTTCAGTAGACCTTCCTCTACAGTTCCATTTTGGCAGAAAGCCTTAACATTGAATGGTTATGTTATTAAAGTGCAAAGTATGGAATCCTGCGCAGACGTTTGGTCAATGCAACTTAAGCAACGTGCAGTCATTGAATTCTTGACAGCAGAAGGTGTCACCCCAAAGGAGATTCATCAGAGAATGCAAGCCGTTTACGGTGATTGTGTTGATGTGAGTTCTGTGCATCATTGGGCGAGCAAGTTTAAAGATGTTGAGGTGACACCTTCTATTGTCAAGAATTCAATGACTTCACGTTGCTTAAGTCGCATTGACCGACTGTCTGCGCAGGGTTCCATACATCACACTTTAACAACACAACCATTTAATGCTAAGGCTTCCAAAATGGAACAGTAGAGGAGAGTCTATTGAACAAGCCAGTACCTGCCACATACCAGTACTGCCATCTGTTGAGGAGTTATGAAGGTGGAGGCATTACTTTTTATTCAACCCTCGTACACATAAAATCCATAAAAACTATAAAAATCTATAAAAAACAGTGTCTTCCAGACCAATTCCTAATCAGTTTACATTGTCTTGGCCGTTCCATGTTTGTATTACAATTTTGTATTTATCTGGTCACGCTGAAGCTCCAAACACTTGCTCAAAGAGCCAAGTTTTCACCCTTTTCTGAAAGGTCAGGAGGAAGGGGGCCAATCTAATATCCCTGGGAAGGGAGTTCCACAGCTGAGGGGCCACCACTGAGAAGTCCCTGTCTCTCGTCCCCGCCAGACACTCCTGTGAGGTAGGCGGGATTGAGAGCAGGGCCTCCCCAGACAAATCCCATAATTCCATAGCAGTGAACCAAAGCAGTTCAAGTGATATCAAGAGCCGGGCTTTAGTACAGCAGGTTAACCACCATCTGCAATAAATCTTGCCAATCAGAAGATTGACAGTTCAAAGCTCGTGTCAGGGTGGCCTCCTTTAGCCCAGCTCCCTGCCCACCTAGCAGATGCAAAACAAATGTGAGTAGATAAATAGGTACCGTATTAAAGTGGGGAGGTATTTAGGCACGGCATTTCAATCAGAAAAAGGAGAACATTTATGAACAAAAGAAAGCACTTCAGCAGGGAGATGGAGTGGCAGCATCCCCCGATGGCCGGAACCAAGCACAACCTCCAAAATGCCCAAAAATGGGAAAGCTTATATCTATCTGTTGTCTGTCTTGTCATTGTATAATTGGCATTAAATGTTTGCGATATATGTGTTCTGTGATCCACCCTGAGTCCCCTTCAGAGTGAGAAGGGTGGAATATAAATAGAGCAAATAAACAAATAAATAAACAAACAAATAAATAAATAAATAAATGAGGTTGTGATAGGGATACCACCTTAGAGTGCACTCCAGTACATGTTATTACTCAGAAACAAACTTTTGTACTCCAGCTTGTAGGCATTTGTGTATATAAGATTTCTATCTTTACCTACCTTTATGATTACAAACATGCACTTGTTGCTTGGGGTGTGTCTATATTATAGAATTAATGCATTGTAACAACATTGTAACTGCCATGAGTCGGTATTATGGAACCCTGAGAGTTGTAGTTCACTGAGGCAGTAGCATTATTTGCAGTATTTATTTATTTACAGTATTTATATTCCGCCTTTCTCACCCAACAGGGAACTCGGAGCGGATTACAATGCACATACACATGGCAAACATTCAATGCCATTTAGACATACAACATATATAGATTAGACACAGAGAGAGAGAATTTAATATTCCAGCTTTTCCGGCTTCATGAGGGTATGCTCAATTCCAGCCACAGGGGGAGTTGCTGCTTCACCATCCAGTTGTGACACCGAGTCCTTTGATGGAGTATTTCCTCATTCTTCTGCACACTGCTGGAAGGTTTTATGGCATTATAATTGAAATTAGCCTCCTTGAATAAAGCAGTACCTAAAATTCCTACTTGACAGATGCAACTGTCTTTTGGGCTGCATAGGTCGACAGCAAGCTAGACAGTTAATGGTCAGGAGCTTACTCCACCCTGACTTCGAACTCATTACCTCTTAATCAGTAGTGATTTAATGCAGCTGGCTACTAACTAGCTGTACCACAGCCCAGCTACTAACTACTAATGGCTACTAACTAGCTGTGCCACTGCCAGCATTCTTTGGCAGCGAAGACAGAGAAGGTCTTGTAAAACTACAGCACTTAAGACTCCATAGCATTGAGGTATGGTAGTTAAAGTGATGTCAAGGTGCATTAATTCTATGGAACCACCCTAAGACCTGATGAAACCAATGAAACTTTCTTTGATGCAAATATGCAAGAGTTTACACTGTTGACCTGTGTAGGACTGCAAACTGAACAAACCTGTTTCAGGTGGAGTGAAATAAGATAATCAGTCATCTATAACAAAAACAAATATATATTAATTAATAAAAGGTTCCACAGGATTTCATAGTATTTACTCCCAGGCAAGTTGATTCAGAATTGCAACTTTAAGATTATTTGTGTATTTTTGTATTACAAATCTTTTGAATACATTCATACATAATCTGAAGCCACAGTTCTGTCTCCACTTGGCTGGAAATAAACACTATTAAATCCTCTGGATTTTAATTCTGAGTACACATTGATAGGACTTTACAATCTGAAATGTGTACACTGCACTAAATAGTGCAGTGATCTGTAGAATAGCTTTTGGGCAAGGCCCATCATCAAAAAGTGGATGACAGAACCTGTCCCACAAGTCTTGTGCTACCAGCAAGCCTGCCTTTGGGACGTTTGTGAATGGCCTGAGTTAATTTATTACATTCTTCCTAAATTATCTCAAAATGGGCACTAAGAAAATGTGCAATTTATGTTAAGTGTTGGAATGTAGCACCACAACTTCAAAATAAGAGGAGAGCAGAGCTAAAATAAGCCTTAATCAAGTAACATTGGTGAATCCACACTTTAGAATTAATGTGGTTTAACACTACTTTGACTGCCATGGCTCAATGTCATGAAATAATGGGAATTGCAATTTTTGCAAGGTCTTAGCTTTCTCTGCTAAAGATTGATAGCGTCTTACCAACTACAAATCCCAGGATTCGATAGCATTGAACCATGGCAGTTAAAGTGGCATCAGACTGCAATTATTCTATAGTATATATGGATCCCTGGAGTCTCCAAACTGATATGACCAGAGTCTAAGGGCCCTTCCAGACAGGCCCTATATCCCAGGATCTGATTCCAGATTTTCTGCTTTAAACTAGATTATATGAGTCCC